TACTACTACTACTACTCTACTACGCCTGCTGTTGCTACTACAGCTACTACTACTACTGCTGCTGCTGCTACTACTACAGCTACCACTACTACTACGACTACTACCACTACTACTACTACTACTACTACTACTACTACTACTACGACTACGACTACGACTACGACTACGACTGCGACGACGACTACGACTACTACTACTACGACTACGGCTACGGCTACTACTACTACTGCTACTGCTACTGCTACCACTACTACTACTACTACTACTACGACTACTACTACGACTACTACGACTACTACTACTACTACTACTACTACTACTACTACTACTACTACTACTACTACTACTACTACTACTACTGCGGGCAAGTAGCCACGAGCCTCGAGATCTCTCGAGTAATCTCTGTGTAGTGCGCCTCTGCGGGCAAGTAGCCACGAGCCAAGAGATCGCTCGAGTCAGGCTTCTGTCGTGCGCCTGGTTCAACCTCCTCCTTTTCCTCCTCCTCCATCATCGTCGTCATCACCATCACCATCATCACCATATTACAATCAATCCACGCCTCCTGGCAAGCTGAAAATTCGCGAGCCTCGAGATCTCTCGAGTCAGCCTTGCGCCGCGCGCCTGCTGGCAAACAGATCTCTCGTGTCAGCCTTGTGCGGAACACCCAAGATCACCATCAACATCATCATCAACATCATCATCAGCATCATCAACAACATCATCATCATCATCATCATCATCATCATCATCATCATCATCATCATCATCATCATCATCATCATCATCAACAAAACTTACCTTCCCCGGGAAAATCCTGTATTATCCCCGCGGGAGCCGCGAACTTTATTATCCCAGGGGGCTTATGATCGCCCGAAAAGGGTTAGTCAAACAATACTTTGCTTTTTGGATTATGTTTGGACTACTTTGAATTTTCCCTCCAGGATCCGCCTGTAGGGGGACATGCCCGACCTAGTGGCAGTCTCCTCCGTCTCCCCTTCCCCCTCCCCCGCCCGCCCACCTCCCCGCCCCCGTCCACCTCCTCTCCTGCTCCTCCCCCTTCCGCTCTTTGTGTTCCTTTCCACGGGGCCCGGGCCGGCGTTCCCCCCCTCATTTCTTTCGTTCGCCTTCCCTTGTTCCTTCCTTTCCGTTTTTTGTTTTGTCTTTCCCACCACCCCCCCAGTTTCCCTCCCCACCTCCCTTCCCCACGCACCCACCGCCAGCGTCCCACCTCCATCCTCGCCCGCACCCCCCTCAGCATCAGGTCGGGCGTCTCCTCCTACAGACGGAATTTGGATGACAAATGCAAAATGCAATTTTCAACAAAAAAACAATACCATGTTCGACTATTTTTGAATATTCCTCCTGTAGGGACACGCCCGACTTAACGCCAGCGTCCCACCTCCTCCCTCGCCCGCGCCTCCCTTCCCCCCCCAGCAGCTCGCAGCCCAGCTCGCAGCCCCCACGGCCAGGTGCGGGCAGGCCCGAGATCTCGCACCGCTGCTTCCCAGGCCCCCCGAGCGGGTGAGCCACGATGCCGCGGGACAGCGCCCACGAGGATAGGAGCTGGCTCTCGCGAGAGGCTGTAGGAGGCAACTACTGGGAGGTCTTCTAGAGGCCTCCTAGGCGGGGTCCAAGTAAATGGGGTCGAAGGATCGCGCCGCATCGCCAATGCATCGCCGATGTATCGACGATGCATCGGCGATGCATCGGCGATGCATCGGCGACGTCGGCGTGGGGAAACAGTCTCCACATCGAGCCGCATCGCCGATGCATCAGCGATGCGGCGCGGTCCTCCGACCCCATCTACTCGGACCCCATCTAGGAGGCCTAGGTCTTCGTCGGAAGACTCAAGGAGAATGGAGCCCCGTTGGCAGGCTACTACGCTGGATTGTGCCACGGATTAAATGGGACTAGGCCAGAATAAGCGGGATTAAGCCAGATGAACAAGGATTTTCGGCTGGGTTAAGCCAGATTTCGGATCGGGGCGAAGTCAGGATTTGGCCTCCCAGGAGTTGCATCCCACAATGCTGTTGCACGCATCGGTTCCGGTCAGGCACGCCGCGCATTGACACCGGTCAGGCCCACGCGAACTGTCCACACGCATCGGCTCTTGTCAGGCCCACTGCGGGCCCGAGATCGGTGGATGTACCCTCCTGGTTTGACCTCCGTGGCGTACACACGGGACTGGGGCCCAGCACCAGCATGGCCAAAAACACTGTCGTGGGCTGGACCTAAACGCTATTGTTCGATATGTTTTCGTTTCGCGTTTCGTTTTGCCCAACCTGTTTTCCCGGGACCCCCTGCCCCTGCCTCAGCGAAAAAACAAAACGCGGCCGAAGTTCAACAACACAACGTTCAGGCCCAGCCCTGTCACTGTCTGCGAGCACAGGCAGACGGGTGGAACCTTGCTGTGTCACATGGAACGGCACACCCATGACAAGACAACACGCTCCACCGCCCGTGATCCCCCGAAGTCTGACACGGCGATCTCTTCCACAGCGTGGCTCCCCGGCGCTGCAAACCCTTTTTCCGGATGCCGCCTTCCCTTCACAGCCCCGGGGTCGGTGAAGGCCCCCGGAGGCGGAAAATGAGCAGAAACCTCCCGACACGGTCTCTTCACGATGCGATGCGACCAGGGCCTCCCGTGCACCACCACCCCGAGATCCGACGTCGCGAAGAACGACCAACCCCCTGAAAAATCGTGAGCAAAGCCCCAAACCCCGTCTTGCTGTTGCACATTTCGAACCGCATCGGCCTGCGAGGGTCCCCAACCGAGAAGCTGGGCGAAAACGCCCTGCGCGAAGAGGCTGCGTCGCCCTGATACGAAAAGGGCCCAGGGACACGAATAAATACGCACGAACCCCAGGAACGCCCATATTTTCTCAAATGTTCAAGGTTTCCGTCTTCCCCCTATTTCACACATGTTCCCATATTTCTTTGAAAGCCGTCGATCTATGGTGTATGTGCGTTGCTCCCTTTCCGGACGATCGCAAGGCACCAGGCAAGAGACGGCCCCAGGCATGCGACGTCCTGATTTATTCGGCACGGGCTCCCTGGACGTGATAAGGCGGTGAGAACTGTTTCGGTCCACCTGTCGCCATCGCTCGGTCGCGCCAGCGCCAATACAAATGTCGATATCGTGCGCGTATTTTCCCGTAGGATGATCCAATATGATCCCCGATGGCCCTCGCCGAGAAAAAGTGCACACGCCCGTGCGATGCCAAGACCTGGGAAGGGTGCCGAACGCTCCCCCTGCCCGCGAACGAGGCAGCGGGGCGCGCGGGCGCTCGGCGCAGCTGCCCCGGGAGGAACGGGAGGACTTGCCATCGCTCGGACGTCCATTCCCTGTGCATTCTTCGACTTGGCGCGTGAGTCTTTTCGCAAGATGACCTTCAAAGGCTCCTCGATGGCCCTCGCCGGATAAAACTGCGTTTTGCTCTCCTCGCTCCGCCTCGAGCACGAGGACCACGGTGGACCATGCTGCTCAGGCCGCCTCACATCCACCTCTGATGATGATGAAAAGGGTATTTTTCTCACTTCGCGTGGCAACGGCGCCTCTTCCGAGGCGCGAGCTCGCGGCATGGCAGCCTGTCCGCCCGAGCCGCATGCCCCCCATGTGTTTTCGGCGCCCACCGCCTCTCCATTACGCATCGCGAACCACGGGCCCACCTCGAGGGCCCCCGCTCGCACTGGAGGGGGGGCCTGCGAGGCTCCCCCTGCGCGCCAGCCCTCGGCCTGCACGGCTGGGTGAGCGACCCTGCGCTTCGAGCCTCAGAGGCCCCTTGCGGCCGCCACGCCACTCCTCCTCATACCATAGTCGGGCTTGCGGCTGCCATGCTGCTGGCCACGCCCTGCGCTCTATCGCTCGCCTCCCGGAGGTAGCCCTGGAACGCGTCGCTGTTCCAGCGCCCCCAACCGCTGCACCAGCGCCGTGTCCTTGAACGCCGCGCGCAGCGCGGATGCGCCACCGATCCGCTCGCGCCCTCTCGGACGGCCCTTCCCCGTGCACCCTTCGATCTCGCGCGTGCACTACGTTCTCGCAAAATGACCCCAAAAGGCTCCTCGATGGCCCTCGCCGGATAAAAATGCACACGGACGTCCCTTCCCCGTGCACTCTTCGATTTGGGTCGTGTATTACTTTCTCGCACAATGACCTTCAAAGGCTCCTCGATGGCCCTCGCCGGAACAAAATGCACGCGGACGTCCCTTGCCCGCGCAATCATCGGTCTCGCGCGTGCAACACTTGCTGACAAAATAACCCCACAAGGTTTCGCGATGGCCCTCGCCAGATCAAAAAAAAATACGGACGTCCATTCCCCGTGCACTCTTCGACCTCGTGCGTGCATGTTCTTGCAAGATGACCTCAAAAGGCTCCTCGATGGCCCTCGCCGGATAAAAACGCACACGCCCGAGCGATGCCGAGGGGAGGTTGCGCCAGCGCTCCCAAGTACGGGGGCGGGGCAGCCGAGGCGGCCGCCCCGCAGGCCCGTCGTCCCGCGCCGTGCTGTTTTGACTGTCCCGCGGCCTGGCGCGGGCCCCCAGGGGCCGCACATGGCCACAGGCCGCCCGTCCCGGTCTTCTTCACGACGCGAGCCTGCCTGGGACTCGCCGTCGCTCGGACGTCCAGTCCCCGTGCATTTTGTCGGTGTCGTGGGCGTATCTTCTCGCAGGGTGCTGCAAAGATGCTCCTCGATGGTCCTCGCCGAAGAGGTGCACACGTCCGAGAGATGCCCAAGGGACGGGGACGAGGATCGGGGGCGTCCAAGACGGGTGGGGGCGTCCAAGAGGGGAGGGCGCAACGCATGGCCGGCGGCAAATGGCAAATGCTCGGTCCCAGGCGGGGTGGCGGGGACACATTGAAAAAAGACGAGGCGCCGTGAAATCTGGGGAGATCTCATAGCCCGCGCCATGATATCCACGCCCCCCCCCCCTGGAGGGAGAGGGCGGGGACGCATTGCGATAAGAAGAGGCGCCGTGAAATCGGGGTAGATCTCGTGGCCCCCGCCATAAGATGTCTAACCCCCCCCAATCATGACCCCCCCCCCCTGAGCCGCCCCCGAAGACGTGGAGGTAGGAGACCGATTTCTGACCACACCCACTTCCCGAGGTACCTTGCGAAAAGCGGTTTCCAGAGGTGGAGGTGGACAGTTTCCCCGCCCCAGGGGAAGGACAAACTATCCACTTCCACCCCCGAGGGCCTATCATAGAATCGAGGATCCAGAGGTGGATGTGGTCAGAAATCGGTCTTCGAGGAGGCGGGCCAGCGACGGGCCATGGCGGGCGCGGAGGGGGGGGGGGCGGCCCCCCGGCAGCGCCGACGGCGGGGGCGGGCCCGGCCAGGGGCGCGGGGCGCGGCCCGCTCGAGCCGTGCGCGGCTGGGTCGCCCGGCGCCTCCCGCTGCTGCTGCTGCTGCTGCTGCTGCTGCTGCTGCTGCTGCTGCTGCTGCTGCTGCTGCTGCTGCTGCTGCTGCTGCTGCTGCTGCTGCGCCGCCGAAGAAAGAGGCCCTGCAGGGATCCAGAACTGCCCGCTGCATCACCTGGATGTGGCGTTGGCCCCGAAGCGGGCGAAATCCCGGGGAAGTGGCGTGCAGGATCCGAACTGTGCGCGAAGCGCCTCTTCGCCTCTTGCCGAATCCGTGACCGAGCCAAAGGCGACGAATGAACGCTCGAAGATGGTACAGTAGGGGCCCGACCACAAGAAACCTTCCTCCTCCTCCTCCTCCTCCTCCTCCTCCTCCTCCTCCTCCTCCCCCTCCTCCTCCTCCTCCTCCCCTCCCCCTCCCTCCTCCTCCCTCCTCCCTCCTCCCCTCCCCTCCTCCTCCTCCCTCCTCCTCCTCCCCCTCCTCCTCCCCCTCCCCTCCTCCCCCCTCCTCCTCCCCCTCCTCCTCCCCCTCCCCCTCCTCCTTCCAGCAGAGACCGAACCCCGAGACCCCAGGGCGTCCACCGTGTTCTGGCGTGGGGGGCGTCGCGCGCTCCGCGGCAGAACCATCGAGACCCAAGGAGCCCAGGGCACCCTGGGGGCAAGCAGGGTGCTTCTTGGCGTGGGGAGGAGGAGGAGGAGGAGGAGGAGGACGACGAGGAGGAGGGGGGAGGAGGAGGAGGAGGAGGAGGAGGAGGAGGAGGAGGAGGAGGAGGAGAGGGGAGGAGGAGGAGGAGGAGGAGGAGGAGAGGAGGAGGGGAGGAGGGAGGAGGAGGAGGAGGGAGGAGGAGGAGGAGGGGTGACGGGGGGGGAGGGGGAGGGGGGGGGGACGAAGAGGAGGAGGAGGAGGAGGAGGAGGAGGAGGAGGGAGGGAGGGGGAGGGGAGGGGGAGGGGAGGGGGAGGGGGAGGGAGGGGAGAGGAGGAGGAGGAGGAGGAGGGGAGGAGGAGGAGGAGGAGGAGGAGGAGGAGGAGGAGGAGGAGGAGGAGGAGGAGGAGGTGGAGGTGTTTCTTGGCATGGGCCTCCACTGTAGCTTTTCAACCTGGACCAAACCTCGGGCCCAAACCTGGCGGGCGCAAGCCTGGAAAATGACAGCCGCGGCGCCCTGTCGAGAACCGAAAACTGAAAATCCCACCAGCCCTCTGGGCGGAGGTGGTCTAGAGCGTTTCCGTTTCCAACCTCCCTGATATACCTCCCCCCCTCCTTAGGTTTGGACGGCGCGGTCCCGAGGGGTTAGAGGATCCTTTTGAGATGGCTCCAAG